CCCCTGTGAGCAGATTTTGTTTTCTTTTTGAAGTAAAGACATTTTCTTCCTTCCCTTACCACTGCTTTAAAGCTACGCACAGCTGACCCTGTGGCCCCCAAAGAGTACGGGGAGTTAAGTGAGGGCCTTTCCCTCCCTCCCTCCCTCCCTCCCTCCCTCCCTCCCTCCCTCACTCACTCTCTCCCCTCCCTCCCTCCCTCCCTCCCTTCCTCCCTCCCTCACTCACTCTCTCCCCTCCCTGGTTATTTAAGACAGAGTTTCTCTGTGTAGCTCTGTAGACCAGGCTGGCCTCGAACTCACAGAGATCCTGTCTGCCTCTGTCTTCTGAGTGCTGGGATTAAAGATGTGGGCCACCACCACCCAGTGAGGACATTTTTCTTACCTTAGTCCTGAGAACATGCAGTATTCCATCTCTGGAGAAGACAGATTTATAATCCACATGAGACAAATGTTAATTTTTTTAAGTCAGCTGTTTTGCTTTTTTGAGTTAGAAGTACTTAGTGACCAGAAAATTAAGATGCTGTCTGATAAAGAGCTTCTGGGCCAAAGTTTGGGTGGAAATTAGGTTAAGAAAGATCACAGTGGTGGCATATGCCTTTGATCGCAGTAGAGAAGGGTGGTACAGCTTCATCTCCCCATGCCTACCTTAGTCTGCAGCTGGCCCTTTCCACTGAGGGCATCTGACCTGGACACACTGGCATCAGTTTATCTGAAAGCTAGGGAGTGTTAAGTAACCTTTTTGAATTTTAATAACATTTGTTGATTTTATAATTATAAAACTATGCCTATTACAGAAAGTTAGGACATAACCAAGTATAATAAAACCACTTTTTGTTTTTCCTTTTGTCTTTTTGAGACGGTCTCACTATGTAGCCTTGGCTGTCCTGGAACTCTGTAGACCAGAGTGTCCTGTAACTCATAGAGAGTCACCCTCCACTGCCTTCCAAATGCTGGGATTAAAGGTGTGGCTAACCTTTTTTGTTTTTTTGTTTTTTTTTTTTTTTTTAGTCTTTTTTCCCCTTATTTTTCATTATCAAAATGAACAAAGCCAAGGAAGGCCTTTAGACAAATGGTTTATTTTTAATTTTTGAAGATTTATGTATTATGTATGTAGCGTTCTGTCTGTATGTCTGCACATCAGAAGAGGGCACCAGATCTCATTAGAGATGGTTGTGAGCCATCATGTGGTTTCTGGGAATTGAACTCAGGACATCTGGAAGAGCATCCAGTGCTCTTAACCTCTGGGCCATCTCTCCAGCGCCTTTACGCAAATGTTAATATCCTTTCTGTTTTCTGCTACAGATGTACAGGTAGGACCAGGTTGCAAGTGTACAGCTTATCCCTGCTTATCTTCCACAAGTATTGTCTTGCCATAAAGTTTGAAAAGTAGTCTCCTTATGTATCTCTAGTGATGAACTTTGGGGAAAGACGGTGTTTCTAGTAGAAATCGTATACCTAAGACTGAATTTTTATGATAGTTAGGCATCGTCACAGGCATATGGAACATCATGAGTAGACTCCTGTTGGTGATGACCATTTCATATGCACATAATTAAACCCACACTCAAAACTAAAAGGCTGAAAGCAAAAGGAACACAATATAAACAGACTATGAGGCGTTGGTTTCCATGGAATGAGAGCTCCTTATCATGCTAAACAGATGCCTAAAAAACAAGGTGTAAACACCAGCTAGAGAGCCAGAAGGCTTCCAAGTTTGGCACCTCTGTTTTGGGGTTAGACTCCTCCTCTTGGTGTGGGAGGAGAAAATCACCTTGTTGGGCTCTGCATTCCACCCCACCCACCCCCTTCCTGTGACAGTGCAGGAGTTGGATTTGTAGAGTCAGCAGCGTTACCAGCTACCTGCAAGGGCAGTGTGTGTGAGCTCTCGGCTGATCTCTTCCAGCATGTGGGTGTTGGCTCTGTTGAGTTCTACAATCGTCCATCCCCGGACTTACATGAGCCTCGCTGGTTTATCTTTTATCCAATCCTTGTGGACTTTCTAGGACTTCTTTGTGGTGAAAGTAAATTTTGGACTCCAGGTTTGGTACATGTTATTACTACTTTGTGAATAAATAAGTGATCTCTGCCAAATGTAAGTTGTAGAATTATGTTGTATGCAATGTACATATGAAGAAAGAATGTATTTTGCTCATTTTCTTAATAAAAAGTTATATATGAATGAATACTACATAATGTCTTGTGTTTGCCAAAATTACTTTGAAACTTAAAAAGTTGCATTTATGGGGCCTGGAGATAGTAGTATTTGCCTAGCATGCAGGAGGCTTTAGATTTGGCCCTTATAACCTGCAAGTGGGGTTTGTACATGACTATAATCCCAGTATACAGTAGGCAGGCAGGGGGGTAATGAGTTCAAGGTCATCCTTAGCAACATAGGTTTCCGAGGCCAGCCTGAGCTCCGTGAAAACCTGTTTGTTTTCAGATACTTAATTCATTTTATGTGCATTGGTGTGAAGGTATCAGATCCCCTGGAACTGGTATTGAAGACACTTGTGAGCTGCCATGTGGGTGCTGAGTCTTGAACCCCAGTTCTCTGGAAGAGCAGCCAGTGCTCTTAACCACTGAGCCATCTCTCCAGCACCAAGAACCAGTTTTCCCTGGAGTGTTTGATGAAGGCTTTCAGGTACAGACAGTACTGAGGTAAAGGGCATGCTTACCGTTTCTGGGGAAGTTTCCATTTCTGAAAAACACTGGCAAATTGTTTCATGGAAAAAAAAAAATCTGCTGTTGGCAACCAGCAGTTTATGGTCTTTTGTGAGTTTGAACTTGTTTCCTGGGGTTTAGTTGTACTGGTTTCAAAGTACAAGGAAAATTAGACTGAAACAAAATAAACTGTAGGAAAAGCAGCAAAGGGGGAGAACCTAGCATATTTCTGAGTTTGGAAAAGTCTAGGTTTCAGTCCCTGTTGTAGAGTAGAATCTTAAGGACCAGACCTAAAAAAACAGATTCAGAAATATACTGAGGGAGAGCGTGGATTATTATAATGGGGCGGGAGGGCTCCGTGAAGCAAGGTCTTCACCTGTCATCTGTTAGGGTTCAAATGCTCTAGGCTTTAGGCATGGCCAGGTATGTATTCAAAGTAGGGGTTAAATTTAACTTGAAAATCAAGCTCTTCCTGCATAGCTTTCATTTCTAGGGTGTATTTTAGTATGGCTCAGAAGTAATGTTTCTTTGTGTTCTCAAAACAGGAAGACGTGAGGTACAGTGATAAGGTAAGATATTGCCCTTCCCTTAGTTAATCCTCCTGAGAATTAAAGGCATCAAAATGAGGGGCGCTGGCACATTTGTCACCATCTCCTGTGAGGGAGACAGCGGTAAACAATGCCCCTTTAGGATGCTCACTGCTCCTGTCCAGTGAGCGCAGGCCTACAGATCCAAGACGCAGCTCTATATGTCTACACGATCATTTCTCCCAAGTGACAGCAGAGGTCATGGAAATGGGTGGGGTGGGGGAGTGGAGTGATGTCCCTGTGAGCGGAGGCAACACTCTTCAGGTTCAGCTGAAAAAAAGAGCAGCTGGTCTGCTGTCTGCTCTGGCTTTACTATGCAGTGTCTCTGCTTTAGGGGACTGGTGACGTGAGGCAGCATCTTTGATGACCACAGGGACAGCTGTGTGCACTCGGCCAAGAAAAGCAGGAGCAGTGTGAAATGCATCCTTACCACAGACACCCGACAGGGGAGAGAAAAGCCAGGTAAAGGTGACCCGTCCACTGTGCTGGAAGGGTTAGATGACTGGCAGGTGTTCGCTGCATGTGTGGGACAGCTGTCCCAAAAGCAGTTAGGGATGCTGTTTTCATCTCCAAATCCACCAGGAACTGGCACGTGCTGAGGACCATTCTCAGCCCTGCGAGGGAATAGCAGCAGCAGATCATCTTTGTAGGCCCCTGGTGGTTTAAGACGTGCCGTGTGAAAGGTGCCCGCTTGGTGTTCCTCCTAAATGTTCACTCGGGTGGCCAGGCCCAGCTTTCTTTTCCCCTTTTGGGTACAGAAGAGGTGGTTTGGGAGGGAGCTTATGGATGGGAAAGTTGGGCAACTGAGAGCCCCTCTAGATTGTGAAGGCCGGGAGCAGGGTCAGCGACCCACTCCGGGAGCAGCGGAACCTTAGAGCTCGTCTGTGGGCTGGGATAACCGTGACTCACCGCTAGCACAGTGTGCCCCAGCAGGGCCACGGTCCTGTGGGAGTCCTTGGCATTTGGTTCTTTCCTGTACCCTTGGCACACTCATGAGGTTAACCTCAAAATACCCTGGACCTGACTCTGGCCTGCCCCTCTGGGTGTCACTTGCCTGCCACCACACAAAGACTAAAGAAAAGCCCGTGGTAACTGTGGATACAGTCTAGAAATGAGGTCTGGTTAGAACTCAAGCATGATGGCGTGGGGAAAAAGAAAGAAAAAAGAAGAATCCAGCACTGAAGAGAAAGCATGGCGTCAGAGCCTGGGCCAAATGAGGAAATCTACAGCTGGCAGTGTGCTATGATGTTTCCTATAAATCAGGTACAAATATGGGCAGATTAAGAAAATGGACAGGGCAGACCTCTTCCTCCTGCCAGCTTGCCCTGACAGAATGCATCTTCTTGTCCATCAACTGCCTCCTTCACTGTATACCTGGAGAAAAGGCAGGTCCAAGCCTCTGCAGCAACCTTCCATGGCCAGAGCAGAGTGCTCTTCATGCCGGGACAGTCACGGCATCTTTGTTTGATGGTGGTCACCTGTACGTACATCCCAGGTAGAAGCAGGGGGAGTTAGAGGATAACAGGCTTATAATCCAGGGCACAGGGGAAGTGAGGTCCTCTCAGGTGCTGCATAGCCCTGGAGTCCTCCACTCCTCTCTTCCAGCCTCTCCCCTCTACTGGCAGAGAGCAGCAGGTGTGGATGGGCGGATGCTCAGCAGGTGTGGATGGGCGGACAGAGGGAGTAGTTGATGTCTTCAGGGGTGTGGGTGGAGAATTTAAGCCAGAGCAACACACCAGGACCTGAACCAGCTTACACAAAAGCATTTTAATTGACTGTGTACAATTTTCCAAAATATATTTTATAAGAAAAGGCAAATAGTTAACTATAGTCTTTACAAACAAGTTTCTCAATAAATTCCAGTGTACTTCAGACCCCTGTCCACTCACACAGGCTCCCCCAGTCTCCTGGGCAAGCTAGTTGACATTCACCAAGAAACAGAAAGGACCCATGAAACGGCGATCCCCGCAATCCCCCCAGACCCGAGGGTGACCGTGACGAATGCCCCTCTACAGGGCGTCTCCTGCCTTGCTCTCCAGTATTCCCTTGGATCCTTGTTCTATTGGACATTCCTCAGCAAGTTTGCAAAGTTGTTTCTTGTTAGGGAGGAACCCCCCCCAAAAAAAAAACAACATTTATTTACACCTTGGACTCAAATGATTCCAGAGCCCAGCAACGTGGCTGTGCGTCCCTTGCCAGGGTAACAGTGGAGGATCGGTGGTGTGCAGTGTTGACCTTGTACCTGTGAGTTGCACTCTATTCCCTGTCCTTGAGGACACACACAGGGTGGGCAGGGTGGGGCTTGTGTTTTAATCTTGTCTCTGTCCCTGCTTGATTTTGGTCCATTCGCTTTGTGGCTTGGGATGTATTTTCCTGTAGGAAGACTGAACTGTGTCTTCCAAACCTTCTCCCTTTGACCATCAGCCCGATAAGCACATTCTGAACTCCAGCCCATGCTGCAGTAGGATTTAAGACTTGGCTAGGGAGGAGCAAGGCTCGTATTTAAAATATCCTAGCTACAAAGTAAATACTTTTGTTACCAGCCTGTTTAGTTATAGTTCTCATTTTTAAAAAGCCAGTTCTACTAAAAAGACATTTACATTCTTGTGGAGAGAAAAACCACTTAGCTATCTCTCAGCTACCAAATGTTTCCCTGAAAGTGGTACAGGGTAAACAAACTCATGGCCCCTGTATTTACAGTGTCAAAAATATGCATGCATCTTGTCTACTTCACCCTATTCTTCAGAGTTGCAACAGTAGTGTATTGACCCAAAAGGGAGCCAAACCTGATAAAGCTCAAAACGCCTGCTAGCCCAGCTTTCTCTGTTGAAGAAGGTTGGAGGCCTGAGTCTCCCAGGTGAGCCTGGATCCTGCCCTGAGATGCAGATTGCTTAGCTTCCTCTCCTTCCTCTCCCACTCATACAGCAGCATGGCAGTCACTGGGTTTGTCAGCCACAAACGCCAGCCCCGTGGGCTTGCAGCTGGGAAAGCCATCTGCCACTGGAGGCTTCTGGTTTCTCTTTGGTACAGCTGGTTTTAAAGTCTTGCTGAGAGCCCTTCCTCTTCCCTTTCTCAGCCAGAGATTCTGAGTTAACAGACAGCTCTAAAATCCCAGTGAAAACACAGACAACTGTTACAGATGCTAGCTGTGTGTCCTGTCGAACAGATGTCCCAGCAGTAAGAACAAGCTGGGGCCTGACAGCAGTACTAAAAGGCAACAACATTTGGGTGCACAAGGAGCTCTGGACTGGCCTGGTCAGAGCTTCCACAGACTTACCCTGGACAGAGCCCTGGCCATTCCCTCAGCCCAGATATCCTTTATTTAATCTTGCAGTCATCTCTGAGAGGCTGTGGGGTCGCAACCTGTGACTATTTTGCAGAAATAGAATTTGCTGTCTGTCAAATGGCCTCGCCCCAGTGACTGTGACATTGAAGTAGCCTCTCACACGGGCTATGATGGGACAGATCCATTGGTGACAGAGCCTAGCGCAGGAGGAAGGAGCAGACCTAACTTCCCGGCCACTGCTCTCTACCCTCCCCTGCAATCTGAGAGAAGCAAGCCACAGGGCTGTGGCTTCCTGTTAGTATCTGTCCAGCTGCTGTGAAACTCACTGAGAGCCTACCTTGATTTCTGACAGCTTTTGCTGCCTAGAGAATATCACAGGGTGATGGCTACTTCAGAGCAGAGAATGGGTCATGGGAATTTATGCCCAAGAACAAAACAGACCAAGTTCAAATCTCCCCCACAGGCTCTGCCTGCTCAGAACACGAGGTGCGACCTCACTACTCCAGCCCCCAGCAGCCTTCTACATGGACACCTGACTGCCAAGCCTGTAAAACTCCTGTGCTAGGTACTAGGCATCGCTTTGTGTTTCCCTGAGATGTCACCAGAAACTCAACAGCTAGAAACCACAACACAGGAAACAAAAGCCTGGCTCCATGCTGGGGTTGTGGGCAGAGGTGCCTTCACTGCATGTTCTGGGCCTGCCTTTCTCCAAGGCAAAGGAGGATGAGAACTAGCTAAAGACACTAACAGCATCTCCAGTCTGAGCTAAGCTTTAGCCTCTGGTAGTGGGGAGCTGGACTAGACACACACACACCATCTTAATTCCTGAAACTCGAAAAGGCCCGAGCTTCCCGTGCAACAGTAACACCTGGTAGTTTAGGTTGATTGTCTGCTGAGACACATTTGCAAATCAGGGACCAGTCAGGGTCCCAGGACATCTGTCCCTAGACAACTGCTCTATGACACTGGGTTTTGAGGAGTCACCCCCCCCCCCCTCAGTGGAGCAGTGAACAACAGAAAGGGAACATCTTGTTTTCAGTAGCTAGATTGTTCCAAGTGGAAGCAGAAGGCCAGAGGACGGCTGGGGGAGTGTCTTCTAGGAGTGCCTTGGGTTGAGCCAGTGTCAGTACGGAATCAGCTGCCATGCGGAAGCCATCTGCACACGAGCTCTCTCTTTCTCTCTGCCTGCCCACTCACCCCTCTGGCAGACCTCCACTGGGTAGGGAGGCCTGTGTGGGGTAAGTCCCTATCCCACTCAGCAAAGGCAAGGAAATCAGAATCTAGAACAGGAGGTTCAAAGTCGTGCTCTGGAAAATAGTGGGACTGAAGACTGAATCGTGGAAGCTAGTGGAGGTCATGTTACAAGAGATGGGAACTTGGGACCTATCCTTGAAACAGTTGGGACCTGGCTTTCTTCCCAGCCTGCCCACCTGCGAGTATCCTTCCTGGCCAGAGCAGCCTTGGAGAGGAGCACAAAGGAACACAGTGGCGTGGCATGGTGCAGTTAGGCACCAGACTGAGGGAAACAAATGTCTGTGTGACCCTGTGCACAGTGACCTGACCTCAGGGTCTCTGTCGTCTCACGAGATGAGAGGATGCCACAACTAGAGGCTGTCTCTCCAAAGCCCCTTCTGTGGCTTTTCTCCACCTCCTCTAGCCTTCCAGCGGCTCTGGGCTCAGGCACAAGTGGGTCATTTTACACGAGGAAACTGGACACAATGTGACTTGTGGAACTTGAAAAGGGAAAATTAAGGCCCTTCGGGGATTGGGAGGGGGCACTCTTCAGAGTCCACTCTCCCTCCCCAGTCTCCCCCTCTTCCAGGGGGAGCTTCCCCGCTGTCCGAATGGCACTTGGGGTGGTCTGGAGCTGTTGGGTAGCCGGCGGACTCATCAGAGATGCGTGTCTTCCTCCTCATCTAGGTCATCCTTGGTCAGGTTGTCCAGAGGGACGATCCAGCTGTCCCCCAGCTCCCCATTAAGGTTGACCACTTTTTTCTCCTGCATCTCAGAAGGTGTCTCCATCACTTCCAAGGTTGGGTTGTCGTGGTAACCATTCTCTACTGTCTGCAGCTCCTCGGTGAGTCGTTGCTAGAGTGGGACCCCAGGAAGAAGGCAATTTTGGATAGCCGTGAGCTTTAATGAGACTATTTCCCCATTCTACCCAGGGACCCCAAGTTGGCTAGAGTAGATTCCTGTGGGGGGCAGATGCTCTGGAGGTCACCCTGGCTCCAGGCCCGACCATCTCACGAGTACTTCCCCATATCCCAAAATTATCAACTGGTCTCTACCTTCATTCCAGTGCAATCTGTGGGGAGATTTTTTTTTTTAAGGAGTTTTGTCCTTAAGTCCTTTTTGTCTCCTCCATCTCTCCCCCAAACACCTCTCAGTTCTCATCTCACTCCATAATAAAAACAAGGGGGGGGGGGCAATCAGACTAGCTGACAAGATAAACATGGTGGGTCTTATGGCCCTCCACGCTGCAGGTGGATTTGGCCATGGACACACACTGCCAACACACATGCCTCATGCAGTGTCTAAGGTCACTAGGTATGGAATTTTTGCAATGCTCCCAGTAGTTTGCAGCTAGGGTTGAGACCACAGCACAATGGCATATAAAGATGGCCGTTTGGGGCTGGAGAGATGGCTGCTCTTCTAATGTCCTGAGTTCAATTCCCAGCAACCACATGGTGGCTCACAACCATCTACAATAAGATCTGATGCCTTCTGGCCTGCAAGCAAGTATACAGATAGAACACTGTATACATAATGTATGTCTTTAAAAAAATAAAAAATAAAAAAGATGGCCGTTTTGTGTATGAGACGGGGTCAGGCTGTACCGTTCAGGCTAACCTCAAACTTGTGATCCTCCTGCCTCAGCTTCCCAAGTGCTGCGATTACAGATGTAGGCCACCACACCAGGGAAGATGGCGGTTCTAGTAGGCCAGGTGAAAGAAGTTTTGGTTAGAAGAGCACTTGCCTAAGGCCATATCTACCCCTAAATCTCCAGAGCAGCTCTGCAAGGTCCCTTCCCCTCAGTGCTGATGACAAGGCTACAGGCTTGAAGTCAGACACGGGAAGGGAATGGACAGTTAGGTCTTAAACCCAGGGTTTCTGCTCTGGCCACCACAATGAGTTTTCAGGGTTCGAGACAAGCTAGCCTTGCAGTGGGGACAAGAGCCTCTCAGAAGGGTCCAGGCCCACTCACTATGTGTAGGAATCGCGTGAGAGTTCACTGGGCTGGTTGCTCCCTGACTTGAGGAGGAAGATGCCTACCTGGTCCTTCCTCTGGGAGATGCGCTGGTGACAGCAACCATAGAGGGCAGCAACAAGGAGCAGGAAGGAAGCCATGCAGACAATAGTGATAATAAGTGGCAGGCTGAAGCGGTCCTCGTTGGCTTCTGGTGGTCCTTCCCTCCCCAGCATCATGTCACTGACTCCCGCCTGGCCAAGGAAGAGAACTTGAGTGACAGAAAACAGATTCCGGGCCCCTCGTCTCCACCCCATCCGTTTCTGAGCCCTTCTGGATGGGTCCTTTGCCCTCTATGCTACCACCAGCATCGTCCACTCATATGTGCCTAGCTCTCAAAGGACGCTTCTGCACCAGAGGACACGGGGACAAAGCTACTTACCTCTCTCAGGTCATCCCATCTGTCCTTCAAGTGCTCATACACGGCTTCAGGAGAAAGCTTCGCTGTTGGAGAGAGGGAGAGACTGCTGCTTCCACGGTCCATCCCAGAGGGCACCCAAGGGGAGAAGGTTCTGCATCTGCCCCAGTCCCTCGAGTCTCCTGGGATGGCTCCTGGCACTGCCCGCCCAAGCCATCGTCCCCTCACCCTTCACTCACTCTCAATAATGACTCTCTGCACCGCCACTGCCCGGCTCTCTAGAATAGGCGCCACCTGGAGAGTGCACTGATCTTGGGCTGGCTTGAAGGAGGCTTTGACTGAATGGCACAGGAGTTCCACGAGCTTTTCGTCCGGAGGGCTCCCTTCCTATTATTGTACAGAGAGCACAGGTCATTCCCCAGGTTGTGACAAGAGCTTGCGCTCAGGACGCTGTCCATCTGTCCCGTCCCTCCTGTGCCCCCCCCCACACACACACACACTGGTGCTGTCCCGGGCTTGTCAGGGATGGAGTTTTGTATTTTCCTCCTTAGACTCTCTGCTCGGCCTGCGTGTGCTGTCCGCGAGTCACACCACCTCTCCCAGGGTCCTTCTCGTTTCCTGGGATTCTGCATTGCCATGCCGCAGGAGTGGGCGAAACCAGGGCACAGCACTCCACCATTGCCGGGGGGAGAGACACAACCCAGGATTTAAACCCCCTGTTCCCTAGCCTCTGGTGTCCGTTTTACTCAGGTGGGAAGGCCACACAGCTCTCCAAGATAGTAAGTAATGTCTCTGCTCCCACCCATAGGCTAATGCTGACAGGCTGACAGGGAAGGAAGGCACGCTGGATGGGCAGTATGGGGTTCTAGGGCTGTCCATTGGATTGCTTACACAGGCCTAGGCAGAAAGAACGCAGAAGCATGGCGTGAGAGTTGATGGTGAGGCGTAGGGTAAGGACCTTTACTTAGTACTGCTAGTGTCCCTTCCCGATTCTGGACGCGGAGATGAGGTGAATGCATGAAATCATGACCCAGCATCCTTTAGGTCTCACACACGCCGCCCCCTACACTTCCCATGTGTAGTTTCCTTAGGCCCAGACGTACTTTGCTCCATCACCAGGAGCGGAACCAGCACTTTTCACCTTCCTTCTATAGAAGGGAAGGAACGCTTCCTACTAACAACACAGCCGTAACGAGTACGGCACAGCCTAAGGGCTCTAGCCTAAATATCATCTCAGGGGCAATTTCAATGCTGTGCCTGCCTTCTTCTAAAGCCCTGATGGTCAAATTCATGCTTTCATAGCTCATTCCAAGTGTCAGCAAAACAGAACCCCTGGAAGAAAACAATAGCAGAATCCAAGGTCTCTATCCTAGAGAGGAGCCAAGCAAGCAGTCCTTGCTCCCAGAAGTGGATGCAAAAACTGGCACTGGCCAGTAGAGGGCAGCAGCAAGCCAGCCATCACCTGTACGCAGGAGGCCAATGACTGGGTACTGTGCAGTGTGGAGGGAGAGGTAGGCATTGCTACACCCTCTTATACATGCAGGGATCAGGAAATCCGAAACCACTATCAAGACAGAGGGTCAGTAGTCAGAACTTTGCTCTTTTCTGAGGTACTGGACCTCGACCATGCTAGCCAAAATCTTTATCTCTATCACTTGCCATGGATGACCTCAAATATGTACATATACATATATACATACATACATAATACATACACTCTGAGGCCAAGGCTGACTTCAGCCCTCCTGCCTCAGCTGCTTAAGTAGCTGAAATTATAGGCCTGAGCCAAATGGCCCAAAAAACCCTACCAATACCACATGAGCATGCGTGCGCACGCACACACGCACACACGCACACACACACACACAATCACTCAGAGCCACAGGAAGTGCAACCAGGGTCTCCCGGCTCTCAGACCACCTGGAACATAAAAGCCGAGGGAACTGTACTTGAAGCAGTCCTGTGTGCATGGCCCGACTTAAAGAAGTCTGTCCCCGTAGGGGAAGGCGTTCACGGACTAGGGTGGGAAGGCGGTGTGAGCTGGCGCTCAGGTATGTGTACTCACACAAAGGCTGGCTCCTGTGAGATTCAGAATGAGTAATTCCTCACTGGGTATTATGGCGGCACCACATTTTAGCTGGAAGAGGTCAGAAGATGGAGGTTTAGGAACAAAGTCAGCTGATCTTTGATTCTCCCCTTCGTGGGAGTGACACGGAAGGACACATGGCAAGGTGCGGGGCATGGGTGGTCAGTTTTGGAGCCAGGAATGTACCTGGCTGCCCAGCTGTTTCAAAAACCCGGGTAAGAATGGGGTGGGGGGGGGGGAAGGCAGGAAGTGCCCAGCTGGGGCCCTGTGTGGGGCAAAGGAGAACTCCCCTTGAGTCTGGGCTTATCCCATCTGCTGCTAGAATTACCTTGTAATCCCTGAAAGTCCAGGTGGGAGGGGGTATGCTGAGCCCTTGAGGAGCTGTTGGAGTCCAGTTAGAGCTGGAGTGTGTGAACTCCTCAGTGGTAGACACGATCTTCGTTCCCACTGGAGACCCCGTAGTCTGCCGTGGTGTAAATAAAGGGATGCCGGGTATCTGGCTGGTGGTGATGGGTAGAGTCTCTTTGGAGGTGGTCAGAGATGCTGTAGTAACAGACAAAGCAAAGGCTGAGGAGACAGGCTGTACCTGCCAAGGAAGGACGATGCTCTTCTCTGGCTTCCTAATTCTCACACGCTGTAGCCAGTGGCTATGGAGGATATGAGACAGGCATCAAACACTGAGTCCTGGGCCATGGTACACAACGAGTCACTCAGAAGAGGTAAGAACCGAGCAGAAGTCACAGACATGATGGCATAGCTAACCTACCTGAGCCACAGCTCACATACACAGGGCACTTGCTGGGGTGGGGCGGCTGTGCTGGGTTTCAAAGGCACTGGCTCCGTTAGGATGGCATTTCACAGCCCCTACTTATCAACAAGGCAACCGAGGCTCGGTGACTCATCTACGGTCATTTGGCACAACTGGAAGTGTGGGGGATTTGAACTCTAAGCCTATACACTGCTACAGGGTGTGACCACTGTCTCCCAATGCACAGGCTCATGCACCGCAACTGAGGCAGGATTTTAAGGTTCCTGAGCAGGCCCTAGATTCTGACATGCACATACCCAGTTAAGAAAGACTGGCACTTTAAACATAAGTAAGTAAAGGGAAATAGAAATAAGGTAGGGAATGGTGCCCCAGCCTTTAGTCCCAGCATTTGGGAGGCTGAGGCAGGTGGATCTCTGTGAGCTTGAGGCCAGTCTCAAGGAACATAGCATAGCAAGTTCCTTCTAGGCCAGCCAGTCTCAGGAAAAGGAAGGAAGGAGGTAGGAAGGGAAGGAGGGGAGGAAAATAGAAAACACCAGTATACATGGCATACCACAGGTCCATCTCCACAATATGGGTCCCTGGGATCCAATTCAGGTCATCAGGTTAGACAGCAAATGCTTTTACTCACTAGGCCATGTACTGGCCTCTATCTATCTATCTATCTATCTATCTATCTATCTATCTATCTGTCTGTCTGTCTGTCTATCTGCGTTTATTTGAAAGTGTGTTTCTTATGGTTGGTTGCTATCAAACAGGTCTGACAAGCATTGTTCTAGAGTTTTCCAATCCCCCTCCCACCACAACCACATAGGTTCTGGGTTGGTGGAATCTACTCATTGCCAGCCTCTGCCACTGATAAAAAGGGAGCCCATGGCTAGGTCTGATAAAAGCAGAAGACACGCAGTGTTTAAAACTAAGTGCCAACTAAGCTACGGGATGGGGAAAATGCACTGCCAAGTTTCTGGGTCTTTTCTAACATTTCTTTTATGTGTGTGTTTCACCTGCATATTTGTCTATGGACCACGTGTGCAGTGCCCAAGAAGACCACAAGAGGGCATCATATGACTACAGATGGTTGCTAATTGCCACTTGGGTGCTGGAACTTGAAGTCTTCTTTAGGAGCACCCAGCGCTCTTACCTACTAAGCCGTCTCTCCAGCCTGTCTCATTTCTTAAGAAAAATGAAAGTAGCCCTAGCATGATGGTACACATCTTTAATCCGGACACTTGGGAGTCAGAGGCAGGCCGGTCTCTTGAGTTCGAGTGGGGTGGGGATGGGGGATGGGGGAGGGGAGGGGCTGGTCTACCTAGATCAAGTTCCACAGTCAAGGCTACACAGAGAAACCCTGTCTCTAAAAACAAGGTGATGGATGGACGGACGCAAAAAAAGCCAATGAATGACTTACTATGTGTGGTAGGTTTCCTTGTGGACACAGAGAAGTTAACACTGGGCGTGGGGCCGGAACTGCTGGAAACGACAGTCGAGTGGCTCTCTTGAGAGTGTGAAGGGGTCGTTGTAGTTATAAGCTGATGAATGCTTGTCCTACTGTCTGTTCTGGAGTCAGGAGTGGACTTTGAGGTAGTTAAGGGGCTGTGAGGCTGGGAAGAAGCTTTAGTGGTTAGCGTCCCCTGAGTGGTTGCTGGGTCTGTGGTAGCAATGTCAGTGTTGCCTCTAGAGAAAGCTGTACTGCTAGTGGGGCCAGCATTACTGGGCGTCCCTTTGTTTTCCTGGGAGCCACTGGAAGCTGTAGTAGTGCTGTTACTGCGCTGATTGTCACTGGGGCTTGGGAACACTGAAGAAATAGTTCCTGTAGACTGGTCTGTTGTTCCTTTGGTTGATGCACTGGTTGGCTGGGCTGAAGAAAGTGTAATCACTGTGTCATTGGTTGTGGTTTTTGTCAATGCTGTGGTGGTAGTCTGTGCTGTTGTAGGGTCTAAGTTGCTTGTATTTTTGATTGGAGTACTCATGGTAGTTGCTGTTGATGAAGACAACAACATAAATCAAGTCAGGTGTTAGCCAGAATGTCTGTGAGCTTCAAGCTCAGCCCCGGATGCATCAACCTCCCGCCCATCTCTGGCATTGCCTTGCTGAAGCCTGCATCCTTCATGAGTCTATGGTTACATAGCACCTCAAGATGCCCTGCCCTCCAAAAGATTATACGGACCTACGCTTACTGAGCTGCAGCAGGTACCAGCAAGAGCCACATAGCCTTCCCAGGGAAGGCACAATCCATCTCAGAGGACAAATAGATGACAGTCACACAAATGCTCACAAGGCCCCACTATGGGAGGGGCTGAGGAACAGCGGTGTACCTGGCAGGGTTTAGCTCAGCAGCTTAACCGAGGTGGGGAAAGGGTCAAGGAAGAAAGGCTTTTACTGGTTGAAAAGAAGGTGTATCGGGGCTGGAGAGATGGCTCAGAGGTTAAGAGCTGCTCTTCCAGAGGTCCTGAGTTCAATTCCCAGCAACCACATGGTGGCTCACAACTATCGGCAATGAGATCTGATGCCCTCTTCTGGCATGGGAGCAGAATGCTATATACATAATAAATAAATAAATCTTAAAAAAAAAAAAAAAAAAAGTCCCAGAACCTACAACCCCAGGGAGATGGCATGAAGCTAGAACAACCGGATAGCAGACTCAGTAACTTGAGGAAGAATGAGTGAGGAGAGGAAATGAAGACGGTAAGGATGGGGACAGGCAGAGTGGGATGAGGGTGGGGGGGTACCAAGGCATGGGCAGGATGACTGACGGACAGGCAGCTGTCTCGGTTTCCTGTCTCCTGCTGTGATAAGATACCTTGACCAAAAGCAACTCTGGAGATAAAAAAAAAAAAAAAAAGGGCCCTGGCTCATTATATCAGGGAAGTTAAAGTAGGAACTTCAGGCATCCTATCCACTGTCAAAAGTGAGGAGGATGAAGCGTGGGTCCTTGCTTGCTTGCTTGCCTGCTCAGCTAGCTGTCTTCTCTCTTAAACAGTTTAGGACCCCTGCCTGGAGATGGTGCACTCCACAAGAGTCTTCTAACAGTCAAGGCAATCTCCCTCTGACATGCCCATCTGGCCGTCTTTATGGAGATAATTAATTACCTCACTAATATTCTCTTTGAAGATGATTCTAGGCTGAGTCAAGCTGACAGTTAAACCAACGTAATCCAGCCCTTGTCAATTTGACACTCAAATACATCACTATGTGTAGTGGGATGTCCACTTTGTCTCCTTCTGTGGCACTGACCACGCCCATTGGGGGTGGAGCCAGGGGTGAAAGTGACCTGTGGAACTAGGTCTGAGGAGGAGCAGAAAGTTCTCTTGCTTGAAGCACCGGGACAGGAGCACTTCCGGGGAGGCATCCTTGGGACTAGGAACCTGCTGGTGTTCACCTGTCTATGTTGTGAGTTATTTCTCCCTGAATAAACATCTGTTCGGCCTCATCGTTTATCCTGGTCCTTATTAAACCGCAATAACTAAGCCGTAACAGCAACCCTCCGCTGACCATTAAAAGCTAAAAAAGAATGCTATGTGAACAAGTACCTTCAAAAGAGAAAACAGAACAAACTGAAGGTCTCGAGTCAGGGGAAGGGGCTTTCCATCTAGCCAGTGTGGCCCTGAGGGTAAGAGGGGCTGTAGGTGACTCCTGGTTTTCTGCCATAAGCACTAAAGGCTGTGATGGGAAGGGGTATCATGGCCAGCTGACACTTCTGTCTGGACAAGACCCCACCCCACAAGACTGGCTAGAAACAGAATGTTTCCTCTTACACCTGAAAACGGCAGGCTTTAGCTTGCCTAGTATTCCCTGAATCCACAAGCATGTGTCAGTTATAGAATGTGGAGCTCGAACCAAGCAGCCCTGAAAGGTGACCCTAGGGAGCTCCAAGTGTCCCGCTGCAGTGCTAACTGCAGCTGGGCTGCACCTGAGGGGGGGGTGTGCATTTCTCCATTAATAGACAAGATCCCTTCCTCTTGAGAAGCAGAAGGCAGTATCAAGTATGGCACCATCGGGCCTTATGGGAGCCAAAGGCAGTCAAAAATCTACCAAGGGATGGGATTCTGGTAGATGAAGTGGCATTGATGGCACTGGCTGCCATATATGACTGAAGGGCACATATAATGGAATGGTATGTTTAAAAATAAAAAAAAAAAAAAAATCAACCCACCCAGGTGCAGTAGTACACACCTCTAATGCCAGCACTGGGAAGGCTGGGGCAGGAGGATGGTGAACAGGAGGATGGGCTACACAGTGGGACCCTGATTTTAAAAATAAAAGTAGCTAATGACTAAAACATGACAGGTGAAGAGGAGCAGGCCTGTCACCCTAGAGGGCAAGAGGAGGCAGAAGATGGGGCGTCCAGGGCCATCTTGGGCTACATAATGAGTTCAGGGAGAGTCTGGGCTACCTGAGACCTGGTTTCAACTCTCTCTTGCCACAAACCAGCAAATCTGGATTTGGTGGAGCTGGGAGACAGTGTATACATGTATCCGTACACGTGCTCCTGTGTGCAGGTGTCCCTGGCTGAGTACCCGGGAAGCTGACACCCTTGGGCATTGTTCTTCAGGAGCTGTCCGTCTTGTTTTGGTGACAAGCTCTCTGCCTGGCCGGGACGGAGCTCACGATTAGGCTGGCCAGGGTGAAGAGGCAGATTGCTTCTCCTATCCCAGGCCTCAATTACCAGCAAGGTCGTGGGGACTGAATTCGGTTCCTCGCGTTTGCTTTTGTTTTGTTTTCCGAGACACGGTTTCTCTGTGCAGCCCTGGCTGTCCTGGAACTCTCTCTGCAGACCACGTTTGTGGTCACCGCTTTGTCCACTGAAACCCATCTTCCCAGCCCCACAGCTGCTACAGTTCCCGGATTTCCCTGCTTGTAGTTCATGCAGCAACTGGTGGCTTCATACTTTCTTGTCAACTGGACACTGGTAAGGAGGCGTCAGCACCAGTGGGGACTTCAGGAATTTAAGAGCTACAGAGGCAGCCGGTGGCTTTGTGGTGGGTTGAGTAAGCATGGCGCCATGTGCTCATATATTTGAATGCTTGGTGACATATTGGAGAAGGGGTAGGAGGTGTGACCTCACTGGAGTAGGTGTGGCCTCGTTGGAGGAAGTGTGTCACTGGAAGTGGACTTTGAGGTTTCAGAAACCCAACCCAGGCCCTGTGTGTGTGTGTGTGTGTGTGTGTGTGTGTGTGTGTGTGTGTGTGTGTGTGTTCAGGTCAGGATGTAGCCCTCTGCTCTAGCACCAAATCTGTATGTCTGCATACCACTATGCTCCCTGCTTTATTGACAATGACCCAATCTCTGAAGCTGTAAACTAGCCCCAGTTAAACGCTTTCTTTTTAAGAGTTGTCATGGTCATTGTGTCTCTTCACAGCAATAGCACACTGACTGGGACAGACTTCTTACAGTAGTAAACAGAGGGAACCAGCATCTCAATCTGAACTATGGACAGTCACCCTGTGCCTTAGAGTGTTCTAGCAACATCTCTGGTCTCTGTCCACTAGATATAAATAGACACACATACCCACTTCCAACTCTAACAACTAAAGATGTCCCCAGATACTACCATGTGTTCCTCTGAGGAATTAATGACTAGTCAACGAAAATCACCAACTAACATGAAAGAATGCCAAATTAATTCCAGAAAACCCCCCACCAACACACAGAATAGGAAGAAGCCAGAGGCTTTCTAAGACCAAAGAAGTTCTGTTAGGCAGCCAAAGAGCTGAGAAAGGATGAACGTCAGAAGACTGGTCCCAGTGTTAGTGTAGCTGATTACCTCATCTGGGCTCTAGCATAGAAATTGACCTTGACATATGGTCTCCCATAGAGATGAACCAGACTACCCATAAACCTCCCTCCCTTCTCAGATGATCCAACCATTTTCCTGTCTAACAGGAGGAAACTTCCTACCTTGCTTAAGGCTCCCAAAATACACATGACAGTGATAAATGGAGGATGACAACTTTTGCTCATCGGGACAGATTTATCAATATAGGTACACAGCCCAAGACCTTGCATCCATAGCTGGCTCAAGGCACCCAGTCTAGATATCTTGTCATACAACTGAATAGATGGTTACATTGCCAAGAACAGCCAAGCATAGTTGTGCAAGAAGAAATCCAAAGTCTTGAAGAGAGATAATTGGTGTTATGAAGAGTCTCAGTTGGAGAGACGCCCTGCAAGCATAAGGACCCAAACTGGGATCTCTAGAATCCGAGTAAAGATCGATTCAATATCACATGTCTGTAATCACAACACTCCCACAGCGAGATGGGCGGTGGAAACAAGGGAATCTGTAAGGCGAGGAATCTGAGTTTGCATGGACACACACACATATACAAACACACCATAAAGACTTTGAAAACATCAGTTTGACCCCAGCATTATGTATGCCCTGCTCACTCGCACGCTGACTTTCCCCGATAATTCCGATAACAACTCTCCACAAGGCTTTCAGCAGCACTCTCCACGTGTGCTAAGAGGAACATCTTATTGTGTCTCTCTAGTGAAGATGTAGTGTAAATATTTATTGATTGTGTTTTCACAGTTGTTTGTTTTTTTCCAGTTGGCTCACAAAGCAGCTACTCGCTTTCTTTTGCTGACTTTCTGTGTTGCTTTTTTTTTTCTTCCAGTTTTTATTTTTTAATTTATTTATGTTTGTTTGTTCACTGGTTTTCCGACACAGGGTTTCTCTGTGTAGCTTTGGAGCCTGTCCTGGAACTTGCTCTGTAGATCAGGCTGGCCTTGAACTCACAGAGATTCCCCCCTGATTCTGCCTCCAGAGTGCTGGGATTAAAGGGTGTGCCACCATAGCCCAGGCAATTTTTTCTAAGACAGAGTTTTACTCTGCCGCCCAAGCTGGCCAGGGCCTCATGGTGACCCGTCTCCTGCCTCAGTCTTTTAAATGCTAGAATTCCTGGTTAATTGTGTGTTTTACAACTGATGGTGGCTTTCATAGAACTGAGGGCGCTGTTAGCACAACATAGAGCT